ACTCCTAAGATTCTGTGATTCTGTGAAAACTAAACCAATTCCTATTTCTCTGTTGTCATAATGTTACTTTACTTTTGTCAGCTAGTTTTTTCTTTCTTCTGGTGGCTCTGTACTGGACACCGGTAATACTGACTCCTTTGGGATCAGAATACAGCAACCCTGTAATTTTATCTCTCAGTTGTTTAGCTGTGAAATGAGGTGAAATGACTTAGATTAACATGGAAAAATAATTCTCTGTTGTAGAGTTGCTGTTTGTTTTGCAGGTTTGCTGCTGTGTTGGATGAGAAGTCCCGCTGAAGTCAATTGAGAGACTTGTGTTTTAACCTAAATGAAGGTTTGATCAACACCAAACAGAAAACAAAGAGAAAATAAAATGAGATTCTCTACCAGCAGAGAAGTACAAAATGGGTATATTGCATCTGCAGTCCTGAGTGGTGCTTCAAGTTCATTCTCACTTAGGTAATTCTGTTCTGCCACACAAATATGTAACGAGATTTATTCCAAAGATGTAGCTTGAAGGGTAGAAGAAATAGAAAGATTTTTCCTTCTTTTAGCTAGCCCACCCTGCCATCCTGTAAACCCACCTAGAGGCAATCCAGCCAGAACTATGAAAATGCCCTTCTTGTTGATAAAGGGAAATTACAGCTCAGCAGCATCTTTTGTATCTGGCTGCCTGCACATCATGTCTGATTCAAGGCTGATGGGGAAAGTATGGTGAGGATGCTCATGCATGTTGTTAAAGAGTTCAGGCTCTGGTTCAGAAAGCAGAGCACATCTTTGTATGGGTCCCCTATGGCTTTCTACTGCTGTGCGTCCCACCTAGCACAGTAGTAGGTGGCAGAGTCTTGCAGAGTTACTTTGCTCACTGTCAGAGTGCAGATGGATTTGGTGGGATCCTTCTCAATACTAATTTTCCCCTCATCGGCCTTGTTTTCAACAAAAAGCCTGGAGGACATGTAAGCAATGCGCTTGGGAGCTGCATTGGGCCTCCTTCGGTACCAGTGAATGAAAACATTGATGAAATCGGGATGGGAGACGTGGCAATTGATTAGCACCGTCTTGCCATCTGGCTTGGTGATAGATATGGGTGTTTGCTGCAATACTAGTGCAGAACCACCTGTGTGAAAGAAAGAGAAAAATGAGAGACATGAAGCTGAGAGAAGAGAGTGTCCTCTTTGCCACTGGTGGATGTGCAGGCAGAAGGGTGAGCAGGGCACATACCAGAAAAAATAGCTGTCAGAATGAAAGCACTCAGCAGCCACATTGTCATTGCCCTCCTGATGGCTTCCTATCAGGGCCAAGGCCAGGGCCAGTCTCAAGTGGGGATGAAGCAGATCTGAGTGGCAGAAAACCACCCAATGAGACTGTGCCAGCTGCAGATGTGTTAAACAAGCCATTTCCTTTGATTAACACTTAAGGCAAATGGAAAACAAACAAAAAAGCCTCGTAAGAAATGAACCCACTGCTGAGGCACACACATTTTTCTTTTTTTCCTCAGGGAATTTGCTTGGATGACAAGTAAAGCATCACTTTTTTTTTTCCCCTCAACATATGATTTATGGACACAATAAGTTCTTTGTATCTGCATTTTTAAGGTAGTTCTGCTATCAGGGGGTGGAACAGAAGAGATGCCCTCTTGAAAGCAGGTAAAATTGCTGCCCTAAATCACTGAAGCATTTCTGGGAAATTACTGCTGTATGTTTGTCTGTTCAGTTTCCTCTAGGCACCTGCTGTTGCCTACTGCTGGTTTTGACTGCCTGAGGCTTGGTGTGTCTTCATCTACAAGGAAAAAGAAACAGCCCTGTTGTGACAGCAGTGATCAGACCTCAGGGCTTACACACTGTGACTCTCCTGAGCCCCTGCAGCTGACATCTAAGGCAAAGGGCTGACACAGCCGGAAGCTCCTGCAACAGCAACGTGGGCAGCACGCAATGCTGAGCCTGCCTCCCTGAACCAGGCAGGAGCAGAGTCTGTCCACGACAGGAATGTGCAAGCAGCTAAGGAGGAGAAATGAGTGATGCAGGTGCCCATCGCCCTTTGGTAGCTCCTCTAAATCCCTCCAGCTTTTTCGGAGCCACGAGAGATCTCCTCTGTCCCCATATGAAAGTTCCTGCAAGTTGTGGTACCTCGCAAATGGATGCTGCCTCCCACAGCAGCTCCCAAAACTAAAACCTGTGTGAGCAACTACAGCTTTTCTTTAAGCAAGCTTCCCTGTGACCAGCAGCAGAGATGGTACCACAGCCACAGGCAAGTTGCTTCATCAGTTCATTGCCCCACTCTTACAGATTTGTGCCATATCTGTAGCCTGAGTTACCCTTGCTTCATTTCCGCCTGGACATGTCTTTGCTTGTTGAGAGCCCTGTTTTCCTAGATTTATTCCCCAGATATGATACTAGACAGAGATCAGCCTCCTTAACTCTCTTACTGACTAAGGTGTTGGAGGCTCCAAGTGTAAGATGCTTTTTCTTTTAATATTTTGTCCCATTCATTTTGAACTTTGAACATCAAATGGGATCCTGTGACACCTAAAATCCTTGTTCTTACAGTCAGTGTGTTTAGTTATCCAGAACTGCAAAGGAAGCGCCAGTGCTTTCAAACTTTTCCTGACTGCTCCAGTAATTAAAAAATCATAAATAGGCACCAAAATTTTAGCAGGCTAGAATATATGTTTAACTGTCTAGTTTAAATGGAAGTGCTTCGTAGTATAAACTTATATGACACCTGCAGGACATCAGTAGTAATACACTCGCTTTCATGTTCTTATTTTGTTCTTAAACCTGCAGGTTAGTAACTTTAGAACATGCTTTCTATGCATCTCAAATGGTTTACTATCTGATTTTTCTAATCAAAATAGTGTACACTTCCTAAGCCAAAAGTTGCACATGGGCCTAAGTATTTTTATATCAGCCAACCCTAATCAAACAAGCCAGAATCTCACTTTAAAGTTCAATACTGAGATCTGAACGCCTGCTGATAAACAGCCCCCTAGCCCGGCTACCTCCCTTCTCTGCTGCTTACTTGTCCAGACCATCTGAAAAATACACTTATAATGTCAGTTTACTGATACTGATGCTATCAGGGTTCTGCTTTTGGTTGTTATTGTTTGGGTTTTTTTTTAAGTAGAAATCAATTGTTCATGCAAGATCTAATTTCCCCTGTGAAGCACTGTGAAGCAGTTGAGACACTTCCTATTTCTGCCCCCAGATTGATTGGAGTTTCTCATCCAAAGTCACAGGGAGTCTTTCCACTAATCTCAGTGAGATTGTAAACACACTCAAATAACTGAAGCAAACCTACACAGAGAGGTTTCTGTGTTTTTTTTCAACTTGGCCTAACTCCTATCAGCTTCTTATATCAGCAGTTTCTCCTACTCTGGCAGGGGGCTTGGACTGAATGGTCTTTCAAGGTCCCTTCCAACTCCTAACATTCTGTGATTCTGTGATTCATTCTGTGATATAGAAAAGAGTTCATGCTAGGAGAAGCAACAAATCAACCAAATCAACCATTACATAACATGATCGTGACTCTTTCTGCTGAAAGCCTATTCAGCAGAGGGAGAGCCAGCCCCATAAACCACTCTCTGTAGTGCATCATGAAGGTCTCCACGTGCTGCAGGTTGCATTTTCTGCCCCCAGTACGTCGTTATTGGCTGCCCGGCTCCTGGAATCCATCCAAGCTCTGCAACAGAAGCTCACCAGGAGCTTTTCATATACCAGCTGGTGGGACAAGGCAGTTTTTCCTTTGCACACATGTTTTCTTATAAAACAGCTCAAGATAACAGAGAAGCCACCACTGCTGTTGATCAAACAGCCTGCTTAACTTGCCACTTAAACTGAATTTGAGTGCCTCTGGGACCTTGCATGGCATACCAACTGCAAAGCAACATTAAGGCATTACAGTTTGCAGCTCGAGGGAGGAACTAGTCTGAGGGTGAAGGTCTTGCAGTGGAAGTAGGTGTAAGAAAAGCAGTTGTCTGCTCTGAAGGCTCCTGTGCAGGAACATTGTAATCACAATAACAAAGCAGTGGCAGGAGTGATGTAGGCAGAGAACAGTGCCTACCAGTGCTTTTCCTGTCATGTCCATAGGCACACAGCGAAGAAGGCCACCTGCACCTCACCTGCAGTTGCTGGGGCTGTTGGATTATAGTCACAACAGTGAGTAGCAGGGAGCTCTCATTAGAAGACACAGTGCAACTCTGCATAGTGCAGACAGCTTGTCTAACTCCCCTGTGTCATCTGAGCTTGCAAGTATTAGAAGGACAAAACTGACCTGGAGACCTAATACTCATTGGAAATTGTCGTGTTACTTTTTCTTCCCATCAGACTAATCACTTTAATGAGCCAAGTAAGGCTCACTGGTATCAGAGTACCCCAGTAAAGGGAAGTATTAAGTAGAAGCTTGATGGCAGAGAAAAACCTCTGTGGATGAATCTCTGAGGCATGAGAGTTAGCATGCACCTTGAGGCAGTAGCTAGGAGGAATGGATTTCTTTAGTTCTTAACTGTGAAAGCTCTTTTCTTTGGTACTAGCTGTGGTAACTCTGTTGCCAACTTTTGGGATAATCCGGTACATCACTACTATGATGAACAGTAGTGAAACAGAGACATTGACAAGGAAGAAGATAGGGAAAAGGGCTGATACAGCTCAAAAAAAAAAAAGAACAAAAATGGCCTCTTCTTGATCTCTGCACTTTGCACTTGCTCAGTCAAATCTCTTGCTTTGGCCAGCTGATGCTGCCAAGGCATCGGTCAGCAATGAGCAGGTCCTGCTTCTCCAGAGCCTATGCCTGAGGCCAGCCAGCTAATCCACACCAGGGAAAGTGCGTTGGGGTCTTTCAAGTTGTTTGTGGTTGAGATGCTGAGAGAGTATTTGTCTGGGGGATCTCTGAGTTTCTACCATAGTGTGTATCCCAGTAGGCGCAATAGTAGGTAGCAGCGTCGTCTGGAATGACATTGTTTATTGTAAGAATACACAGTTTCTGGCTAGAAACTTTTTCAGTCTGATACCTGTGCGCTTGGAAGCCCTCATCTACTACTTTTGCCCGTGAAAAATAAAGCATCCTCTCTGGAGCTTTATTCTCCTTCTGTTGATACCAGTGCATGGTGGTGCCATCAAAATCTCCAGATAATTTTTTGAAGTGACATTCCAGACGTACACTTCCTTTAGACTTGGTGACAGACACAGGAATCTGCATGAGAATTTCTTGTGCAAATCCATCTAGGAGAGAGGAAAGGAGAAATTAAGTCATTAGTTGGAATTCAGGGATTTGGGAAGACACCTGTTAGCGGAGCCATGGGTGCCCATGAGGAAAGGTAAGAAAACAAGGAATGACTTACAGGACCAAGTGACTGTGGCCAGGAGTGCTGCCAGCAGCATCATGTTTGTTTGTAACGCTCTGCTGTCACTGGGAGTCAGAGGAGAAGGAAGGTGATCCTGGTGCAGAGTGAGTAATGCCACGTGGGAGGAGGAGGAGACTTCCTTGGGTATGACACCACATGCAGCGACTAGGGTGAGGTCTGCT